GGGGGGGTTAGAATGTCGCACTTTGGTTGAGGGAATGGGATGTTGTCTCCTTGATTGATCTTGAACAACTCTCGCTTAAAAAACTAGCTTTTGAGGTGAGGATTGCCCAAGATCATATAACGAGAGAACAACTCATTCCCTTTAACCGATGTGGAACATTCTAACATTAGCAATGCTAGAAAACAATGTGGTAGTACCATATCCTGCCGCTTTACATTTACATGCTTCAGGACTAAAAGAAACTTATCATTAAGATTTAGGTTGACAAAAACCAAGTTCTTCATCAGGGCTCAAGGGAAGAAGAGAAAAATGAAGATAACAGAGGTAGGTGAGAGGGAGACAGAGAGGATGAGAGAGAGAAGACAAGTTAACTTCGACCCTTGCAAGACTAACAGCACAATAGGACCTCCAGTTACCTTCATCATATCATGATGCCCTATATTACAAGTACTACGAGGTCAAACCTGTACCTACACTTGGTTGTCTGAATGAGTTGCTCCATATTTTTATTATGGGGTTAAAAATTAAAATCCGCACAAAAGACTAATTTACTTAGCTCATTGCACTTGACTTATCATTAATGTCAAATAGCTAACACACGCATCCGAGGCAGCAAAAGAGTCATCTCCAATCAAAAGTGATGTAGCCTTGTGGCAGCACGTTGTCATACCTGCTGCCTTCAGCTCAAGCTCGCACCTACTTTTTTCAGCTCAAACTGTATATGCAGTTGAAATTTTGTTTAGAAATACAAATAAGTTCCCACCACCACCATCAACAACTTAGCCTCAATCCCAAACGAGTTGTATACTTACCGGCAATGATTCTTCATTTAAATTCATCTCACACCTACACTAAAATAGTGTACGGGATGGTCTAAAATCACGGGTCTGCTTCTACCTAATTATAGATGCGGGTTTTCCTTCTTCTGAAGTTTTATTCCAAACAATAAGATTATCAAATGAAGCCAACGACATCAGGTATGGTGCAAATGTGTCGTAACAGAACTACTCCAGGAATCTAAAAGACGAAAGACAGAGTTAAGAGACAGCAGATAATAGTTCCATACGAAACACGAAGTAATAAACTTTACTGAAAATTTATAGAAACAAGTAAAGTTGCATAAAATAAAATAACAAAAGGGGTAAAAGATAAGAATGAGATGACGAAATTAACATGAGGACACAACTAACTGCTACAAGAAACAAAGCCAAAGAGAAGAGGCTCCGGCATACCAGCCAACGGTGCACTATAATTTCACGAGAACCAAATATTAGCCGGAAAATGGGAGCTGAAAAAGAAATGCAAAGAAAAACCGAATTACCAAGATGAAATGTCAAAACCTAGCTATACATGATGAAAGGAGCTAACTTGAGCATTTTAACAAGCAAAGTTTCACAAATTTGGTAAAATCATAGCTCAAAACCGAGTTTTGATGAATAAGTAAGACTTGATCTGAAGGAAGTTGAGTGAAAGAGCAAACTTGAAAGTGGACTTACTGGATTGGTGGTGACAGGTGGAGAAAAATGATAGGTCGGCGGCAAATTTCGCCGGAGAATCAGACCATCTTGGAACAAGGGTTTCTTTGTCGGGATGCCGCAAAGAGAGAAAAGAGGAAAGTGTCTGTTGGAATGTTGACTGCTATTTTATGACAGCTTCTCGACACAAACCACTACACGCGCGCGCGCGCACACGTATATGTTCTCTCTCCTTTTTCTTTTTTCTACTATTTCATGGGGCAATCACTTGGAGTGTCTCTTCTTTGTATGGACATAACCGTTTGAACCTAGGAAATTTTTCCCTTTTTCCAAAATAAATTTACTTTTTCCCGAAACCAGCATTTATGCATAAAATTTTCAATTTTTTCTTGAAGATGAATTTTAAAAATTTTGAAAAATTGAAAAACTCCAAGAACCTGTTTTTCAAAATTTTCATTCAAATCACTCATAATACTTTAAAAACAACCCAAAATTATATTCATGTCCAAACACAACTCAAAATTTCAAATAATATTTTCACTTGAAAAAAAATTTCACCTTTTTTTAGAATTTACAATTCTTATGTCCAAACGCCCACTTAAGCCCGTTTGGACATAAGAAGTTTTTCTCATTTTTTCGAAAATTTTTACTTTTTTTCGAAATCAACGTTTGGTCATAAAATTTCTAATTTTCACTTGAAAATGCATTTTGAAATTTTTCGAAAATTTCAAAAACTCTAAAAAATTGTTTTTCAATATTTTCACTCAGATCACTCACAAAACTTCAAAAACAACCCAAAGTTATATTCATGTCCAAATACAACTCAAAATTTCAAATACCTTTTTTACTTGAAATTTTTTTTCACTTTTTTTGAAATTTTACAATTCTTATGTCCAAACGCCCACTAATGGCAAAGCTCGATTTTGCCATTTATGCATTTTTTCTTTTAAAGCATTCGGTATTTCTAAATTTATGACTACTTTCAATTAATTCACATTAGTGCTCTTTATTTAAAAAGTTCTTTAGTCATGTCACTCGAATATAAGGAAAGATAATCTTGATCATCCAACAACACCCTTAATAATACTCAATTTTGTTATTAGCGCATGAATTGGACCCCGTTGGCTTCTATGGATGAAATTGAAGTCCGAATGCTGGTACAATAGTCAAATTAAATTCGTACCAAATTGAAGTGGCTCTTTGTCATGAATAATTTCTTCCTTCTTATTTTCTTGGTACTAATAGCCACTGAATAGATGCGAGGCTCAGATAGAAAGTTAATGTGTGTGTGGTGTAGATGGGAGAGTCACCGAATATAACATCACTCTGTATAAATCACCAAATGGTTCAATTTCACCTAATTTTAATAATGTGTGTGGTGTAGATGGGAGGGTCAAAATATTTATAAAAAAATTAATACACTATCATTTAGAGAATCTCCTTGCAAACTCGTGACTGTTCACAGATGGCAACTGAAGTTAGGAGACCCTCTAGTTTCCTAAAATCTTTATGACGTATATCGATGAACATAAAATGATCAACAATAAGTTTTTATGGATAAGCATAGTAAAAAATTTATTGCTAAAATAAACACAGTAAAAATTTAACCGCACTCTATATTTACACTGTACGAATAGATGCATAATATGTGTTTGCTAATAGACTATGATCACGCTCAACTATGCCCTCTAAAAAGGACTCTGTGGACGTTGCAAATATAACCCGAGTATTACGCCCAG